TCTTGGTGTATGTGGCCAGTGCCATAAACACTGTGCTATGGGCATAGAGCCTGGAATATCCTTTTATTTATTACAAGTTAGTGTAAATTTATCGATAGCACCAGTCACAATTTATTACCCAGGACTCTCAAGGCTAATGGTTACGCGTTGCTGCTATGGGCCACTCTGTGAGGAAGGAGAGTTTTCCATCTCTGCCTGGGCTGGGGCCGATGGATGGATGGATGGATGGATGGATGGATGATGGATGGATGCTGGTGGGGAGTGGGGCAGACAGGTTTGGTTCTGAGCCCTCCCCCTTGCTGTGTCCCTGCAGCCTATCCCAGAACAGCATCACTGATGTGGGTGCCTGCAAGTTGGCCGAGGCCCTGCCTTCCCTCGCTGCGTCCCTCCTTAGGCTGAGGTGAGTGGGGCCCTAGTCACTGGTCAGGTGCAGAGCTGGCTGGCTGGGGAAGGGCAAGGCGCTATCTCATACTGGCTTCATGTTCTGACCCTGGGACCCTACAAGTGATCATCACGACCCTGAATAAGATTAGCAGGATCCAGGAAAGAGACTCTGCACAAGTTGCTATTCATTCACAGCCTGTTTCCTCTTCTGGAAAACAGGAACCATCCCAATGGCTTATGTACAGTGCTGGCCCCTGGTGGGCAATATATTTTGGTCCTCTTTCCCCAGGGAAAGGTGAGACCAAACTTTTTCTGGGGTCTGGGTTGGTGGCTTATTGAAGGTTGACCATGGATTAGCAGCCTTGGCTGGCCTTGTTCTCCCACACTGGTCAGTGCTTATACTGCCACCTTCTGCTGGTTCTTGGTATAGCACATCTTGCTTTTGAGTTATTTCTAGCCCCAGCCTGGTGTGGTACAATGAGAGAACTGAGCTCCAATCAGAGTCTCATTCACTCAACTCAGAATTACCAGCTCTCCGTCCTTACTCTCCAGGCTGGACAGAGCTTCCCTCCCCTACCCCAGCCCTCTCACATTCAGAGTCATATTCCCAGGAAAGGTGGCATCTTATTCATCTCCATTGATGCATCAATTCATGTATCCTTCCAACTAGGACCACCTTGTGCAGCTGTAGAGGTTGTGCAGTGCCCAGTTGGTAGTTTATGCGATTGGTGGCACTCCATTCCCTGGAGTTGTAAAAGGCATCCGATATTCTCTAACACCAACCATGAGCACAATGGATGTGGTTCTTGCTTTCAAGTTTTTTGAATAAGAACAAA